GTGTTAATGGCATTTTCAAACGCTTGTACATGATTTTCAGCTCTGCGTTGCTGTGCACGCTCACGTTGGTTATTTAACCTGTCGTGGCGTTGCTCAGGTGTTTCTGAAGCTTCTAACTCCTTTCGTCTCTCACGCCGTCCTGTTAACCTGGCCTCATGTTGCTCAGGTGTTTCTGACGCTAATAGCTCTATTTGTCTGTTACGTTGTAATCTTAGCCTGGACTCATGACGCTCAAGTGTTTCTGACGCTATTAGCTCTCTTCGTCTGTCACGTTGTGATGCTAGCCTAGACTCATGACGCTCAGATGTTTCTGATGCTAACAACTCTCTTTGTCTGTCACGTTGTGATGCTAGCCTGGACTCATGACGCTCGGGTGTTTCTGACGCTATTAGCTCTCTTCGTCTGTCACGTTGTGATGCTAGCCTGCACTCATGACGCTCAGGTGTTTCTGACTCTACCAGCTGCCTTTGTCTCTCACGTTGTGCTATTAACCTGGTATCATGTTGCTCAGGTGTTTCTGTTGCTAACCGTTCTCTTCGTTTCTGTAGTCAACTGTGGGTTTCATTTTCACTTTCCTTTGCACGTTTCGTTCTATACTTTTCTTTTGCCTTTTCGAGCCTTCTTTTTCGTTGTGTAGCAGTTTCGTTTTTATTTTTGTTTGCTTTTTTATTTATTGTTACCATGTTGTTCCCACGATTAAGGGGCATTTTGACGGTCGACCCCGCCAGAAGTCCAGCAAAGGGGCAAGGCTTAATATACAACAAGATGCGCCCAATCTTGAGGGGGAAGCGCTGACGACATTACATTTTTACCCACCCTAATGCCATACAGTCCTCGGCACGTTTTAACCTATTACCTTAACTTGGGTGGTATAGCTACCGCTTACTAACGAGGTATCTAATTACCTATTTTTTTTTATCTGCCCCTCTAACGTCACACAATCTTGGACGCAACTGTTCTCGACACGACTAATCATGCCCCCACCTAATACGCCATTTTGTAACTTGTAACACCTAATACGAAATTTTGACATAATGACAGTATTCTGCTAGTGTAGTCCTATTATTTGATACCCATATTGTGGTGGTTGTGGAAAAATATGTACCTAGTCCGCCATATTGGAACGGCGTCCATCTTGAATTTTAAATTTGACATAATCATCGTGTTTTACTAGTGTAGTCCTTTCATTTGATACCCATATTGAGGGGTTTAAGGAAAAATATGTAATCCGCCATTTTGTATCGGCGGCCATCTTAGATTTATAATGTCATTGATTTTATTATATTGTATTGTCATCTAAATTAAATGTGTGTACCAAATTTCAGATCAATCTGACAACGGGAAAGTGCTTAAACTTCAATTTCTAATTTTGACCCAAATAAATAAAAAACAAATTCCGTACAAGTCGAGCTAAATAAAACCGTTTAAATAGTGTAAGTAAAAAGAATTTTATTGTAAAAAAAGCGTGTGGTGTTTTTCAGGATATTATCAGAATATTTATAACTATTGATACCGTGCATTTATTTTTCATTTTATAGTTGAATTAAAATTTTTTCTATTTTCTTTTTCAATTTTCAAAAATTTCATCTTAATCAGCCGGTAACTTATCTGAGAAATAGGTGATCGGCGCGCCTGGTAGTTTCCCTTCTTGGTCTTGACGCAGACACTTCGGGTCTCAGGAAAACAAAAAATCGCTAATCCTGATTATCCTAGTAAGGATAACGGATCAAACTGTTAAATATTGAATTGTCATCGGTCCATAATATGTGTGCCAAATTTCGAGTTAAACCGACGTTTTGAAGTGGGTCAAAATCATGTTCAAAGATTCCGTTACATACATACGTATGAAGCTAATAAAAGCGTATTAAAAAGGGAACGTGCGATACAAACTGCGAACATAATTGTGACGGTTACAAATTTAGCACAGTGTCAGTAAAAGCACCACAAAGTTTTTTCAAGAGCTTTCAGTCCGGAAATATTGATGTCAAAGAAGTTCGCCCTGGTCGACAGATTACGGACAAAATCGATTCCATTTAAAAAAAAGATGTGAAGAAAAATACAAAACATATAAAAATACAGATCACAACATAAATGCCGTCACCAAGCTTATAACATGAGATCAAACTACAAATTTTATTTTGTCGTTCAGACTACAACGCATGTGTCATTTAGATCTTCTGATCTAAATGAAACATGAGGGAGAGGGATGATCTAATCGTAGAACAAAAGTAGTTTAAAATCTATACTAATATATAAATCTACAGTGGTTTTTACGGATGTTCCGTTATAACTACTGAACCAGGCATCCGATTGACTTGAAACTTGGTATCCATGTAGAAAATACATGTACTTAATGGATAGGCTAATATTTATATGAGTGCTGGACTCCCTACACCAGTTGCGGGGGCGTTAATGATAAAAATCTTTGTGGTGGTGAGGAATAATAATGTTAATTTTAAATGTCCAGCGAAGCGGATGGGTACAGCTAGTTGTTTATAAAATAAATATGTAAGTGTCAAATTGACTTGATAATAATCTTCTGTACTAATATTGTTTTACAAATATATCAAAATCAAAGTTTTTATATTTGGTTCATTGGTAGACAATACCACAAAACCCACTGAGTTTCTTGCCGGATCTTCTCAGTGGGTCACAGCTCGGATCCGGCGGTAGATTCAGCAATTCTCTCAGCTTGATCCAATGATTACGTGGGGGAAAAAACACACACACACAAAAAATCCTGAACGGGTTTTAATATATGTAGCTTATAGCCTGGATACTTTAACATAGGCTATTTTCTATTGTGGTTAATAACATGACCAGGGCAATACCGGGTATATTTTCTAGAATAAGCTGTGTGTATGCTAATTAGTGACATTACGGAGCAACGGATCTAAAATTAGACTGGTAATTTATGAGCCAAGAAGCGACAATAACTACTGCTTATTCCGGGAACTCTCCGCAAATCTAGTTTGAAGAAGGTATCGTCCTAGCGCTCGGGAGACTCCCATTAGAGCAGTTCATTCCAGAACCAAAATGGCATAAAACATCTGTGGAAACGGCCTACGAATGAACGCAGCGTTTCCAAGTAGTATGGATAAACTTTGCTACAATGGCAGGGGGTGGTGCGATTGTAAAAAAGAAAAAGAAGAGAGCATCACAAAAAAATCGTCATAGCGATTCTTCTATACGTCTTATTGTGGCTGAATTCTTCCTAAATACCTCACTGGACTTTGATGAATCTTTTTGAGTAGGTTTAATTTGGTCCCTGGGGCATTATTTAAGATAAATATGCAATTAGCTGAAAATGACTTTTTTTATTTATTATTTATTACTGGTGGTAGGACTTCTTGTGAGTCCGCGCGACCACCACCATCCTGCTTATGTACCACCTTGGTACCACCACCCTGCCTATTTCTGCCGTGAAGCAGTAATGCGTTTCGGTTTGATGGGTAGGGCAGCCGTTGTAACTATACTGAGACTTTAGAACTTATATCTCAAGGTGAGTGGCGCATTTGAGTTGTAGATGTTTATGGGCTCCAGTAACCACTTAACACCAGGTGGGATGTGAGCTCGTACACCCATATAAGCAAAAAATAAAATAAAAATTTAAGCGATTCCACATCGCTACTAATTTTTTTAATGTTCCGAATGGCCCAAACGTAAAAATTGTATTAATTAGATCCCGGGGCCCGTCAGAACTACTTGGAACTACCACTACCTGGCTTGAGATATGAGATCGAAGTCACAATATAATTAAATTACATATTGATCTTTCCACCATTACTAGAAGAGAACTGCCAGTAGACTGCTAACAGCGAGTTAAGTATGTAATAGTTTAATTAAAAACAATGACATATGATTGATTGTGTATGTTATGATTAAGAATTAACTTGTGAGGACCGAAAACTATGTTCAAGTTAAAATGAGGTGGAAAACTTGAACTATCATACTTTTATTTTGAATTGTATTTTTTTGACTTGTCTTTTTGTATACTGTAAATATGTTTTCTTGTTTAAAAAAAAAAAAAGAAGAAAATAGTTGAGAAAATACAAAAAAAAAAAAAAGAGCCCGCTGAGTTTGTTTCGCCGGTTCTTCTCAGGACTGTGGCTTTTTTGGAACCGGTGGTAGAGTTAACATTTTCTTTTACATTTTGACATTCAACAAGTGTGTTTTTGATGACATCCAAGTTGAAATAAATGATTTTGAATTTGAATTTGAATTTGAATTTAAAAATAGCCGCTTTTGTAATGAGAATAAAAAAAAATAGTTTAGTTAATAAATTTTATTTGTCCCAATCAAGCCTCAACATTTAATGTTTCTAAAAACCTTCATCGAAATCTATCATTGGGTTAAAAAATACAAGCTTTTTTTTGTTTTAATAAGCGGATGAGCTCACGTTCCTCCTTATGTTAAGTGGTATTTATAAACGTTAAATGAACTGAAATAATAATAATAATAACAACAAATAAGTTTCTTAGACTGTTCCGTTAATAGCTAAATAATACAATAATGTTTATATAATATAATAATAATTATATAATAATTTTCTCTCGAGTTCTTGACTCGGTTTACTTTCTAGCTCCCGCCCTGAACCCTTCAGGGAAGAGGAGGTTCGGACTCCCTTGAATTTATGAAATAATGTATTATCATACATACTATTTAAATAACATACCTACTATATTTTTATATTTTCCAGAATTTCTCTAAATTAAACAGTTGTCTCGAAGAAATCGCTTTTAGCGATAAGACCGCCTATTGTGCAAATCTAACTGCTTTTTGACTGTTTTTGAATGTAAATTGTATTTTAGTATCTCTCTAAATAAACACTATTCTTAAAGTTTAGGCTTATTTTTAGCTATCAACAGTAATTAAATTTAAAACGTAAAATCTTTTAGTTTATTTTTAAGAATTCTTTCATGTCACAACCCGATAACACGCCAGCACCTTTAAGTCTATTTAAATATTAACGCAAAAAACATTTTTTTCGGAAACCTTACCTGAGCTCCTTCGCTTTCTTCTCAAAACTTCAGAGTTAACAACAAAAGTTTTCACTCGATAATTTTTTTTCACTCACCGAAAGCCGCTCTCAACTTAGTTTGGTTCGGCTCCAAGAAATGTATTTTCAGAATTATTTATAATGTTTTTTTTTTGTTTAGATAAGAAAGTAGGTTTTTATTTTTTTTTTGAATTCCGAACTTGAACTTCGACGGGCTCAACTGGTGGCCTATCCGATCGGCGCCCAAGAGTCTACTGCCGGGCGGATTCACGTCCCGTACTTACTTGCGTTCAGCTCTGCGATGTTCAACCCATAGTGACTGTTCTACCTTCAAGAATTATTTAAACTAGAAGTCCCGCAGTAGTCGAAATACGACTATAATTAATTGGAATTGTAAGTTTGTACGTTATTATGATTGTATTTTATACTTCTATAATCACAAATTTCGCCAAGATTACACTATAAAAAATATTAACTAAGACAAACAATATTTAATCTATTCTCAATTTGACAACAGACGTCAAGAGCAAAAGTTTGACAATAAATAGTATGCATGCGTGTCTGCGTCAAATACATGGTATGTAGTGTGTGCAATGTTTTTTTATTGATTTAATGTATATTTTATGCATTATTTTTAAAAAATATTAGCATTTGTGCACTTCTTCTCTATATTCTCTATAAGTGTGGAAAATTTCATACTCCTCCGTCCGTGCAATTTTCGTAAAAAGGGATACAAAGTTTTTGCTTCACGTATTAATATATAGATACAGTACATGAATGGAAAACGATCGAATACGAGTTTAGGCGATTCGATCCTGGAGCTAGGGTTGTTTTTAAGTAATTATTTAATTACAATGTCTTCACGATTGACCTTTATGCACTTAAATTATAAATTTTCACCCCAAAACAATTATCCAGTTGGGAGAGAGGGGAGAGAGAGCTACTGTTCAAAGTCAATTTATTGGATATTTGAAATTGTTGATGGAGAGCTCATCTAACTTAAAGCCTAGCCTACGGATAGATACGTAGATTGTAGATACTATCAACTATATTCAATAACAAACACGAGAAAAGAAAGTTTTCGCAGTGCCGACAGTTTTTTATTTATTGCTTCTATGGATGGACGAGCTCATAGCCCACCTGATGTTAAGCGGTTACTGGAACCCATAGACATCTACAACGTAAATGCGCCACCCACCTCGAGATATACGTTCTAAGGTCTCAGTATAGTTACAGTGGCTGTCCCGTCCTTCAAACCGAAACGCATTACTGCTTCACGGCAGAAATAGGCAGGGTGGTAGTACCTACCCATGCGGACTCACAAGACGTCCTACCACCAGTAGTACAGTTATCATACACATAATTTAATACTTAAAGCGTCAATGCAACTACATAAGTGTATGCGTCTTGAAATTTTAAATCGACTCAAAATTCAAAACTAACTTAACTTTACTACTTTGCTTCGACTATAAATTCTAAGGCTTACCCGCACTTTCACGGGACTTAAACGTAAAAGTTCACGTTGTGGCGTAAACAAACAGTTCAGTTTCAAAGTTAAGCGCTCTGCGACTTTTATTTTGTTTGCTTAAAAACTATTTTAATTTAATTATTCGAAGCTGAGAAACGAATTAAAACATTAAATTGCTGTCGTTACCTTCACATCAGAGTGCATGTGCTTAGCGGTGTAGACAGACAAAATGGTAGGACATATCCGCGGGAGCTTAGACTTAGAAAATACTGACATCAAAAAAAAAAACATAAAACAATGTTTGCTAAAATATAGCTATAAATTTATTATAAATATGAAAGTTTGTTCCTTAATCAATCACGGAGAAAATGTAATATAAATATTTGGCAAAATACAAATACACTGTGCTCGTTGGGTCGTGATTTCACAGATCAAAAAATCTATCTAGTAGTGACACAAGTAACTATTCATTGCAGGAAAATGTACCTTTTTTTTGTTATTTCTAAATTTCAAGTATAACACGGTCCATATCTGGGGCACGACAAGTTCTCTAATAAGTAACAGTAATATTCCGCTGCTGCTGCTCTTGAGTTGTTAGGTCTCCTTCGGGGACGCTCGGGCAGTTGTTAGCAAATCCCACCCTTCCTGGCTGGTTGCTCGACCACCTGTCCTGGTGAAACTGAAAGGCCTCAGGGACACTAGTTACCACTCATTAAAAAAAACCCTACAATCCAGCTTATTTCAGTCACGAAGATGTCATACTATCCGTTTCAAGGATTAAAATTGACGCAAATACTGAATATCGATGACGTTAAATTATAATGACTAAAATCTTGCATGGTATTTGATAAGAAGTAAAAATTATTGATAACACAAGAATTTGGCTATAGTAAGTAAATAAAAGTAGAGGATCTTGTTTAATGATTGCGATTTTATGACAGAGAATACCACATGAGGAGATATGTGCATAGAAAAACAGAAAATTACCGATATCTAAATAATCATAAAAATGATACTAGACTGTAACATAAAAACTCTTTTTGTTAGTTAAATGAAGCAAAATCTATCTTAGAACATTAGAACAACAATACCCAAAGGCATCGAGCAAGCCAAAGTCAACGCCAGTGTTGCAAGTTTTAAATAATGTATGCACATAAATTATTGTCCAGAGAGACTACCTTTGTTCCATTGGAAAATTCAAAGCACTAGAGCCCTGAAAGTTGGGAATATGCACCAGTGAATTTCGAACAAAAATCGTTTGATGTTTCGCTGCTTTTCAATATTTTAATCACGCATTTGACTGAAGTTGAAGCTCTTAATTCACATTGTCTATTGTTAAGCATGTTAACATATTATGGTATACTTATGTATATGTAAGGTGACCAACTCTTTTTTGTTCAAAAAGAGTAACACTTTGCAAGTATATCATAGGTGAAAATTTTTTTTAAGAAAAAACGATAAATTCTTTATTTTCTTTTAGAATCATATTTTTCTTCGGAGTGGATTTTTTTTTGCAAAATGAGGATGTTCGTCTAATAATGCAGCCACATCCGAATAACTTTCATTTTGCATATTACATTTGGCTGTTAAGACGGCAGGTAATGTTTTACAGAAAGTTGCAACTTCTTACTGCTCCAATAATTAATCATTCCCTAGTGAAAATACCTAAAAAAAAAAAATATGATACAATTGAGTACCTTCAGAGTACAGGATTTGAAAAGAGTACGGTTTGCGAAAAAAGAGTACAAAACTCAGTAAATGAGTATAGTTGGTCACCTTAGTATATGGTATCTTCAAAACTCATTAAGTTTTAATGTTTGAGATATGAGAACGGAAGCGAAATGTATTAAACAAACAATACGTATTCTTTGAAGACTGTAATATCTGTTAATAGGTCAGAGATGTCACATCATTTTAGTTCTTTGTCTCTTCGATACAAAGCAATTCAGTCTATTTACTTTATGGAAAAACTAAAAAGGGACAAAAACTAAAATTCTTCATCATTTGACCAGCCTGGTTTATTATGGATAAAATTGCCTATATTTGAAAATAAAATAATTATTTTCTGAGATACTGGATTACATTTATAACCTTTAAAATCTCTTACTGCTTCAAAATGATTCATCCTTGTTAAAGGATTGGATTGTGGCCTGCTATTTTTGCTTAACTTTCACGAAGCTTCGTGAATATTTTGTGGAATGAACCAAATCTTAAAAGAAGATTTTTTCATTTTTAAAAGTTTCGTAATTCACCATTCGCCCTGAATTACTCAAAACGTTGAATAGAATAAACGCAACAATAGGAAACTCTAAAATCGATCGTAGCGCCTACGAATTGTGACCATAAGATTAAGCTACAGCTTACCGTATTCTCTCCCACTACCTCTACACGTGCGCTTATAGTAGTTTTATAGTGGTCTGAACGAACTGAACCGTAAGGATCAACAAACTAAACACTTTTACTGGTGGTAGGACATTTTTTTTTTTTTATTGCTTAGGTTGGTGGACGAGCTCACAGCCCACCTGATGTTAAGTGGTTACTGGAACCCATAGACATCCACGACGTAAATGCGCCACCTACCTTGAGATATAAGTTCTAAGGTCTCAAGTATAATTAAAACGGCTGCCCCACCCTTCAAACCGAAACGCATTACTGCTTCACGGCAGAAATAGGCGGGGTGGTGGTACCTACCCGCGCGGACTCACAAGAGGTCCTACCACCAGTAATTACGCAAATTATAATTTTGCGGGTTTCATTTTTATTACACGATGTTATTCCTTCACCGTGGAAGTCAATCGTGAACGTCAATCGTTGAGTACGTATTTCATTAGAAAAATTGGTACCCGCCTGCGGGATTCGAACACCGGTGCATCGCTCAACACGAATGCACCGGACGTCTTATCCCTTAGGCCACGACGACTTCGACGACGACATCTTGTGAGTCCGCACGGGTAGGCATCACCGCCCTGCCTATTTCTGCCGTAAAGCATTAATACGTTTCGGTATGAAGGGTGGGGCAGCCGTTGTAACTATACTGAGATCTTAGAACTTATATCCCAAGATGGGTGGCGCATTTACGTTATAGATGTCTATGGGCTCCAGTAACCACTTAACACCAGGTGGGCTGTGAGCTCGTCCACCCATCTAAGCAATAAAGAAAAGTATGGTGATTCAATGAATCAAAGTCAACTGCACTAAGCACATCACCCAAATGTAATGTCATCATAATCGTGTCTAGAAGTATTTGAGATTAAAGTTGTGGAGGGATTTTCCTGCTGTGGAAACTCAGAGAAGAATGGGAAGAAAGTGTAATGAGGGTAGGGATTTTTTCAAGTCCGTACCCATAATGTTTAATAATGCGGCCTGGTCCACCGCAAAGCTATCGTAATTTCTCGTTTCAAAAATAGGACAGCTGTACTTATGCAACTCAGACTTCAATCTTATACCTCCATATCTCTCTCTCTTCTTCAACCCGTGTCCACCCAATGCTGAGTGTAGGTCTCTTCCTATATCTCCAACTGAGTAGGAACAATTAATTAAGTGTCTAGTGGTATAGGGTTATTTGTCTGAAGATTTGACATTACTAGATCTCTTTTTAGAGGCACTTTTTGAAAAGCGGCTTAGA